CGCTCGGAGTTGGTTCCTCCTCCTCTGACAAACTTCACTCATAGGGACACTTTCCACATCTGTCCACATAGCAATCGATTGGGAAGGAGATTTTCTACCTCACTCCCAGCCCATCTTCATCCTGTGGAGTCTCCCTAGAGACACCAAGAAGGCCGAGAAGCTGATCAAGATGTCAGATCACACAGGAGGGTGTGTACCGGGAGTGGTCAGGGCTGTGGGTTTAGACTTCCTGTCTGTGCTTTCCATGTCTGGGTGTGGCAGGGCAGGGGCTGTGTGGACCCTGAGAGCACAGACCGCTGCCCAGAGTTTAAACTCTGGTGCAAATCCTGCCTCAGCCACTTGCCAGCTGTTGGGTCTTAACGAAGGCACTTCCCGACGTGTGCCTCCGTATCTTCATCTGTGGAATGGGCTCAGGAAAGCAGCGGCCTCTTAAGGCTGCTGGCAGGGCTAATGAGTTCGTACGGGAACTGCTCCCAGCGGTGGCCAGCTGAGCTCACACTGCAGTGCTGGGAGCTGCTATCACCACCGCCATCACCTTCATTACTATTTACCAGTGGCCTCCTGTCCTGTCCACCTCGGGGAGGAGTTGCAGTGACTTCCGGCAGTCCCATTTCAGAGATGTGGAAACTGAGGCTTAGGATATTGGGACACCTGCCCGTTGGTCACACGACAGCACCAGGACCTGAGTCCTTAGAGCCCCAGGGGCAAACACCCCCAGAGTCAGAAAGATGGCAGTGAATCCCAACAGATGCTTCAACAGAGGAAGCCAGGGAAGTCCAGGCGTGCTGGAGGCCGCCTCTCTGCGCCGTGAATGTGAGCTGCCTTCCTCTGGCTTTTATCCCCCAGGTCCTTGTGGTGACCTCACCTTCAGCCCTGCCTTCTGAAAACCTGCTAAACTGCTGGCCAGCCACCTGGGGGGCAGCTCTGTCTGTAGCCAGGTCCCCCTGAACAGTCCTGCATCTGGCTGGCTTGAAGCTGAGTGCCCTGCCTGCCCCACATAGCAGGAGGCTACACGGAAAAGGGGCTTGGAGTAGAAAATCTCCGTCCCAATCGGTTGCTACGTGGACAGATGTGGACTCACCAACAGTTGTCCATTTCCTGGATCCCTCTGCTGAGCTGACTGGCAGGACCTGAGCTGATGTCAGCCAAATAGCCCAGCCTATTCGCTCTAATTTGGGAGACAATTACTTGCCCGAAGAGTCTCCCGCCCCAGAGAACTCGGCCCCAGCTCCCCTCCCCCCACCAGGGCACCCACACCAACTCCTTGCCTGCACCCTGCTCATCAGACTCCTCCTGGCTTCCTGTTGTTCATCCTGTCACATGCACAGCTTAGGGTCTCAGTCTCTGCACCCATGGTCATCTTTCATGGATGGTCCAATCTGAGGGTCCTTTCCACCCACAGACCTGCCTGGGTCTCTCTGGTCATTTCACTTCCTGCCCACCAAGTTTTCTTCCCATCCCCAGAATCCAGGTCCGCTCCAGACAGCCCCAGAGGCTGTCTCCACGATCACTCCGGTCTGCTCTCCCCCTCAAGGGCTGCAGTCGGTCTTCTCCTCCTGTTTGCTTGGAAGCTGCCCCTGGAGGACTTCAGACCCCAGAATGCTGAGAGTGGGGAGTCAGTGGATCCTGATTGAGATCAAGGGGTGACAACATTTCAGACGGGGAAACAAAAGAACAAAGAAAAAGCTAGACATAGATTTACTGTGTGAGCCAAATAAAACTTTTTTTTGGGGGGGAGGGCAGAGAATTTTGGTTTGTGGGCCACACACCCAAAGGTGCTCAGTGCTTATTACTGTCTCTGTTTTAGGGATCAAACCTGGAAAGGTTCCGGGGACCATATGTCATTCTGGGGGTCCCGCTTGGGTGGGCTGTGTGAAAGGCAAGTGCCTTCAACCCTGTGCTATCTCTCCAGTCCAAACAAAACATTTTGACTCTTCATCAAGAGCCATGAGCATGCAATCTATGTAACAAGCAGTTTAAATATCCCTTTAATAGATGTGCCTGGTACCTTAGGGGCCCGACTCTCAGCTGACCCCTCCCTCCATTTCACAGAGGTGGGTCGTGCTCTCAGATGGCCCTGCCTGGTCCAGGAGCCCTCAGAATTCCATTCCCTCCTATCACATCCAGGCTCCCACTTAAGGGAGAGAAGGACAGAAGAATCTGGGACAAGACACATCACTTCCTGTTTCCCCACCAGCTTGACAGCCCTGATGGGACTCTGCCCCCAGCAGCACTGGTCTCCCCAGGTTGCAGTGAAGGCCTTTCTGAACTGAGTGAACTGTGTGTGCCCTGTCCCGGCCTCCATCCCTCTTCCCTCCATTCCCAAAGGTCAGCAAAAGAGCCCTACCTGGCCCCTCCCTTCCCTGGGGGTGGGCGGCCAGCCCCTCATTCCTTCCCTCATCAGCAACAGCAACCTTGGGCGTTCATGTTCCTTCCTAATGGCCAGTGTCCGATGAGTTAATTCAAGAAGGTATAATGGCTTGTTAATGACTCCACACGTTGCTCTTCCCTGGAGGAATGTGCCTTTGGAGGGATCGAGAAACCAAGTTGTTTGAGGGCCCCGGGTTTTGCCCTTCTCAGCATTTGGTAATTCTCAATAAGTATTTGACAAGTTGACCAATACTTGATCCATACTGATGGATGTCTGAAAATGGCTTCCTCTGGGGTCTTCTTGTGTGCAGCAGTGCTCGTGAAGCTCTGGTTGGCGTTAATCCTATTTATCACAATGAGCACTGATGATGGAGGACTCCCCATGATCAGAGCTGGTCGGAGAGTGCAGGTGGGGGTGGGTCTGGGTCTGAGGGGCCCTTCCAGGAGCAGATGGTGTAAGGGAATGTGCTCCATTCTATGTCTTCCCCTGTGGGGAGGAAGGGGAGAGGGGGGTGGGTTCTTGAAATCTAGCACCCTCACTCAGTGTGCTGATTAAGTCACAGCTGCCTGTGTCCTGGCTCTCTTGCATGCTTTCGAGGGCTGGCATGGGAGTTAGGCATGGCCCACAGCGCTCCCATCCTATTGACAGACAGAGAAACTGAGGTCTAGAGCTAAGCTTTGGTCGGGGACAGAGTGAAGATCAGAGCCCCTGCGCTTGGACTGAGGGTGTCACAGAAGCCCCCTTTGTCTGTGCCCGAGCTGTAGCTTGGTTGTTTAGAGAATTGTTGCCTGGGGCAGGAGTTGTCCACGCTGGAACTGGCTTTAGATGAAGGACAAGAGGAGGAACTGACCGGGCACATAGGCCCTGGGATACCATGTGAGCGCAGGGTCAGGGATGGAAGCATTAGACCCCCCAGGGATGAGAAGAGATGGTGGGGAGGGTGTGCTGGGGCTGGCAGGAATCACTTGCCACATTCTGGAGGTGCTGAGGGTAGACCAGTGTGAGGTGGCCTTTGGAGGGGCAGGGGGCACCAGGTGAAGGCCTGATAGAAGATCTTTTGGCATCATTCACCCACAGGCTCCTGGGACACGGAGCCTGGCACTCACAGGGAGTGCAAGGGGGAGAGTGGGACACTGAGAGTCCTGGGGGTCTCAGCTGGAGGGACGCAGACAGGTGTGGCCTGCCGAGGAGGCACGTGAGGGCCGCACAACACAAGTCAAGCACACGGTGAGGGTCTAGCGTCAAGCGGGTAGGAGGATGAAGAGGGATGGAGAGAATGTGGGACCAGGGATGGGAAACAAGAGAATTCTAGTGACCCAAGAAGGCGAAATGGTGAGAGAGAAAGGGAGGGGGAGGGTGTATCCAGGATAATTTGGACCTGGAGCCGGGTGTGAGCCCAGCCTGGTCCTGACTTCTCACACTGCTGAGTCCGTGCCTGGCTGAGAGCCGGTGGGCCCAGCTGCTGGGCAAGACCAAAGTCCTCCATGGGCCATGGAGAGCCAGGGACATGGCAGCAAGGACAGCTACAAGGGCAGGACCAGGCCCATGCAGGAGCCAGTCGCCCTGGAGGCAGGAGAGCAGGTGGGATCCAGATAGGCCCACGGGGTTAGAGCAGACTTGGTACGGGCAGCCCTCCCGGAAACTTCCATCCTATCCAGGCCTCACCTGCCTGGGCCCTTGGCTGCGGTGGGTCTCTGAGATGCCCAGGAGCGTGGTCTCCTCTTCACTCACGCTCTAAGTAGAGGGATCCCAACCCACAGATGCTCCTGTCTACCAGCAAGTTGCCTTGGGAGAAAGGACACCTCCCCCGCCATTTTTCTCTTGAGTCTGAGCGAGTCCCTTATCCCAGCAATGAGGCCCCAAGTCCCTCAGTGCCCCCAACCATCTCCCTGTTCATCCCCTTCTCCTGTCATTGAAGGGGGTCCCTTCTTACAGAGAGCTGTGGGGATCCATCCTTGGACACGCTAGTGACCCCAGGTGCCCACAGCTGGCTCCAGACTGGGAAGTTCCTGCTCGATGGAGAGAGATAAGGCTTCCCAAAGACCCCCACAGAAACCTTTGTTCTCTGGAATTAGTCCAGGAGGTCTGAGAGTTAGGGGTGAGACAAACGATGGCCCCTTTCTAGGAATGAAGGGGACGCAGTTGTGTTTGGAGCCCCCAGAGACCCGCCCTGTCCAGGGGAACTTTTCTCTTGCCAGAGTCCCCTGAGACACTGAGGCATGACCTAGACAAAAGTCATCAGGAAGGGGAGGTGAAGCACATTGCCAGCCCCCCGGGGAGCTGTCGGATGGGGTGTGGGGTGGGGAGTGGGCAAATTGCCCTCTAACAGCGGTTAATTAGATAAGACCAAATTACATGAGCAAGGCTTGCAAGCCCAGCAATTTGAAGGTTTCATGTTGTTTCAGAGATGGGGAGGGCTTGGTCTCTAGCTCAGCACAGAGAAAATGACTTCTTGCTCCCAGGCAGGGCCAACCCACGAATTAGGCTCTTGACTGCCCAACGTGAGTCCTGATGCCAAGCGCATATAAGGAAGGGCACCTGCTGGGAGCTCAGCGCAGCCTGCAGAACCCGTGTGGGACTGATTAGACCTTCGTTCCTTCCACATCTCCTCTCCGTTTCCACCAGCAACATGAGCCGCCAGTTCACCTGCAAGCCGGGAGCTACCTCCAAGGCGGGCTTCAGTGGCTGCTCAGCTGTGCTCTCCGGGGCCAGCTCGTCCTCCTACCGGTCAGGGCCCAAGGCCCTCAGTGGGGGCTTTGGCAGCCGGAGCCTCTACAGCCTGGGTGGCGTCCGCACCATCTCACTCAACATGGCCAGTGGGAAGAACGGAGGGTTCGGGTTTGGCCGGAGCCGGGCCAGTGGCTTTGCCGGCAGCATGTTCGGCAGCGTGAACCTGGGGCCCACCTGCCCGACTGTGTGCCCCCCAGGGGGCATCCACCAGGTCACCGTCAATGAGAGCCTCCTGGCCCCCCTCAACGTGGAGCTGGACCCTGAGATCCAGAAGGTGCGCGCCCAGGAGCGGGAGCAGATCAAGGCTCTGAACAACAAGTTCGCCTCCTTCATCGACAAGGTGGGTCTGCTGGAACCTGGGCGTCTTCGCGGGGCCTGTTCTGTCCTGTGTCCTCTCGGAACATGAGCTTCTGTGGCAGCGGGGACAGGGCAGTGGGCACGAGGAGCCACTGAGCAGGAGCTTTCTGAGTGCACATGGACAGCTGATGCGTGGGATTCCTGGTGAAGTCTTTGCCGAGGTCTGCGGGGCTGGGGCTCGTGAGGGTTCCTGGCAGGCCCTGCATAGTAATTCTAGCTTCTTCCAATGGAAGACCAGCTCTTTGCTTCCACCAAGCAGGGCCTATATCAGCACAGGACAGAGCAGAGCGACTGCCTGAGCATCCAGGGAAGCGGATCTTCCTTCACCCATTTATGCTGAGTTCATCTACAATCCATGGGCTGGAAGGAGCCTGAGCAGCCATGTGTGGCTTGTCCCAGGGCGGGGCCCTGGACTTGATATTTATTTCTGTCATAGGCCAGGGACTGGGCTCTAGAGGCAGGTAGCACTTGGGGAAGGAGTCCCCCAGGGCCACAGTCGGGTCTGGCCTGACCCCTTCATGGGTAGCTCTGTGGCAGTGACGGTGCTACTGGTTTGCCCAGTCAGTTGCTTCTGCTTCCTCGTCTGCACAGTGAGACAAAGTCCCGGGGGTGTCTGCCTGGTTTACCAGAGAAGAAAGGCTTGGCGAGATCCTGGCGGCATGCCCGATGCATACTAAGTCTTTCCCCGAATGATGCTTATTGTTATCATTTTTATCGCTGGGGAGTGAGGGGTAGGGTGTTGAGCAGGAGAGGAATCAAAGGCGTGCAGGAGGCCCCCAGCGATCATCCGGTCCAGATAGGCCCCAGCTTGACTCTCTGGAGATAAGAAATGATGGCTCCCAGGTGGTGAGTCAGCGGGAGCGGGAGGGAAAGGCCCTGGCCTTCTGGGGCGGGGGCTGGAGGGCGGGGCAGACAGTTCAGCTACTTGCTTCCAGTCCCAGTCCTGGGACAGGCCAACCCCACCAGATCTGAGACAGTGGGGGGCTGACACCCAGGACAAAGCCTCTGTGGTGGGCAGCCGGAGCTCAGTCACCCCAAGCTCTGAACCCCAGCTGGGAGGAAGCCTCAGCATGGGGGCCAGCACTCGCCCTTCCGAGCTCCTTCCCATGCAGAAAGGCAAAGTGTTCTGAGGTATCATTCTGAAGGGAGGGGGTTTGGCTGATCAGAGCCTGTAAAGGGGCCGGGCCGAAGGACAGGGAAAGAAAGAGGAAGGAGCATGAATCCCGCCTTTGTTCGCCTCCATGGACACAGTGGGCTGCTGGGAAGAGCTCAGAGGTTCAGAGTCCCAAGGGCTCCAAGACACTGTTCCAGCTGTTGCCAAGCACCCAGAGAAGAGGGGTCTAGCACCGCTCTGAGCCACATCCAGGGTCATCTAGAGGGGCGCTGTGATGTTCCCTGGTCTGAATGTGCTCTCAGCCGTGGGAAGCTTGGGATTGGCCACGGCCAACCAAACACTGGGGGTCTGGCTACAGGAAAGTGTTTGGTGGCTACTTCCATCCGACACTAACCCTCAGAGTTTCTGACAACCTGTTTTTAAACAGGAGCTGTGATTGTGTGGCTTAAGGGATGTCACATTTTAAAATCGGAGCCTCTCCCACTCCAATGAGACCAGAAAGGGGCTCACAGGTCCTCTTTGGGCCAGTGTTCTGGCCCTGTGAGGGTAGGGTGGCACAAAGATCCACTCCCCAACTGCCCCTCACCCCCGTGTGCAGCAGGAAAGGCAGTTCTGAGAAGCAGGATCAGGACGAGGCCACTTGCAAACTCTGGGACACGTGTCCTCCCCTGAGTTTAGAGCTGGAGAAACTCTTGGTGCACTGGGCCCCATTGAGCTGGATGTGACCCAGGCCCATAGCACACCCCATTTTCCAGAACAGTCCCTTTCCAGGGAGACGTTACCTAGTGTGGCCTGGTGAGGGTGGAGTGACGGCTGGCACGGATGACAGTGAACCCGGTCTGGGCTCTGAACTGGGCTCTTGGACAGAGGCTGACCTCTGGCTCAGTGTCCTGCCTATTAGATGGGGCCAAGGATTAGCCTGCCCGCCGCCCTGAGCTGTGGTGAGGGGAACATGTGAGGGTGAGGGTCGGAGGAACCTGGCCTTTGCAGGGTGTGTCACAGTGGTGCCCATCTCCCCCGAGCTCATCATTTTCTGGACTGTGCTCCCAGGTACGCTTCCTGGAGCAGCAGAACCAGGTGCTGGAGACCAAGTGGGAGCTGCTGCAGCAGCTGGACCTGACCAACTGCAAGAACAACCTGGAGCCCATCCTGGAGGGCTTCATCAGCAGCCTGCGGAAGCAGCTGGAAGGGCTGTCGGGGGACAGGGTGAGGCTGGACTCGGAGCTCAGGAACGTGCGGGACGTGGTGGAGGACTACAAGAAGAGGTGAGTGGTGAGCGGCTCCCCGCCCACAGGGAAGGCCCTTCATCCTGTGGGGGCAGGACCCTCCAGGCCCCCTATCTTCCCCTCCTGAGACTCTGGGGCAGTGGGTGGTAGTGATCCGAGTGGTACCAAGTAGAGCTGCCCTGTAAGACTGGAAATGGTCCCTGTTTCTCCAGCCTCCGGTGGGCTTTGACACCAGCCAGAGGATTCTCCAACTCGGGGGTGAGGGACGTCTCGCAGGAACCCTGTGTCCTGTCAGAGCTCTCGCATCTTTTGTGGTCCAAGGGGTTTAGATCCATCTGCTTCAGAGCCACAGCAAGAGGAAATGGAGAACTTGCTCCCATTCATTGCCAGAGACCTATTGGCTTTTGGGGAGGCTGGCTTTCTGCTCCCTAGGCAATGGCCCAGAAGACATTCACTCCACAACCTCCTTTCTCACTTTTGAAGCTAGATTTTTAATCATTTTTCTTCCAACAAGCCAAGTCCCTTCCTCCAGGAAGCCTTCCTTGCCAACTAGTTTTTGGAGGCCCAGCCTCTTGGGGCCTCCTGAGAGGTGGGCAAGTTGCTCACTTGGGGTCTCCCCAAGCCCAAAGGGTTCTCAGGAAGATGTGTTAACCGAGTGAGACCTGGTGTTCCCACAGGTATGAAGAGGAGATCAACAGGCGGACAGCTGCTGAAAACGAGTTTGTGCTGCTTAAGAAGGTGAGTGGGGGTCAGGGGCCAGGAGCTGTGAGCTGGCCTGCGTGCCATGCCTTCAGGGAGGGCTCTGGCTCAGAAACAGCTGGGGGGTGGCTGGGGAGGGCACTTGGAAAGGCGCCCCCAAAGCAAGGAGTCATTATTCTGAGGTTTCTGCACATTCCTGTGGGTGAGGCCTGTCTCTGAGTTAAGGGGCTCACTGGGCCGGGACCTCTCCCTAAGGGGCACCCCTTAGTCACCCTCTGTCCCGGAAGCAGGTTCTTAGGCAGGCCAGGCCCGGCCATTGGCCCTTCCTCCTTTCCTAAGGCCCCCAGAGAGAAAGGGCAGCTCTCCCTGGGCGGGGGTCTGGGTGGGGCGGGTGGACCTCCTGGCAGTGACAGCTGAGGGATATCTTTCAGGACGTGGACGCGGCTTATGCCAATAAAGTGGAGCTGCAGGCCAAGGTGGACTCCATGGACCACGAGATCAAGTTCCTGAAGTGTCTCTATGAAGCCGTGAGTCAATCTTCCTGCGTGGCTCCCTGAGGGTGGTGGAGGATGCTGGGAGAAGAACAGACCCCCCCCCCACCAGCCCACCCCCTGTCAGCCCCCAGGTGCTCCTCCATCTGCGCCCTCTCATTGTCCGGCTCCATGGGACCCCCCAGGAAACTCCCTTTGTCAGGAAGCACCCACCTGGGGTCCGGCTGCCTGGCTGAGGAGGGTGGTCAACCTCCCGAAGTTACGCTCCCGGGCCATCCCTGTGCGTCCCCGCAGGAGATCGCGCAGATCCAGTCTCACATCAGTGACATGTCCGTCATCCTGTCCATGGACAACAACCGGGACCTGGACCTGGACAGCATCATCAACGAGGTCCGCGCCCAGTATGAGGAGATCGCCCTGAAGAGCAAGGCCGAGGCCGAGGCGCTGTACCAGACCAAGGTGAGCTGCAGGGCTGGGGGCAGGTGCCGGGACCCGGCTGCAGCCTTCCAGGGTGGAGAGATGTCCCACCACCGCTGGGCGTCGCGTCCTCCCACTGCACACTCTATGCTCATGTGAGGCTCTGTGCTTTGGGGTCCCCCAGTTCCAGGAGCTCCAGCTGGCAGCCGGCAGACACGGGGATGACCTCAAAAACACCAAGAGCGAGATCTCAGAGCTGACCCGGCTCATCCAGAGAATCCGCTCTGAGATTGAGAATGTGAAGAAGCAGGTGAGGGGTCCGGCATGGTGGGTGGGTGGCAGAGGAGTGGTGATGAGGCTGGGGGCTGGGGCTGTGGGTGCGAGGGCAGAGGGGCCAAGGGGGTCCCAAGAGCAAACCCCAGAGAGACACCCCAGACAGCTCATCTCCTGCTCATCCCTAAGACATCTGCTCTGAAGCCCCCTCCCCAGGAAGCCTTCCCACATCTCCAACTGGCCTGGGACCACAGCCCTGGTGTCCCCTGGCTCTGGTCAGTGGGCTCTTCTGGTTCTGTGTGCCTCGCCCGTCTGCCACCTGCCTGTCCTGCCCAGCTAGGGGGGAGGTAGGGGCTGAGGACTTGCTCAGTGCCCAGGACTTTGTCAGTATCCAACATGCAGAGTAGTTGAGGCAGTGATGGTCAGGAGGTGGGCTCAGGGGACCATCAGGTGGGCCTTAGGTCCCTCTTGCATATCTTCACTAGAGCTGCTTGCAAGAACGGGGTGCAGTCTCAGCCCCGGAATAACAATGGCTGCAGTCGCCATAACACTGTACCCCTGAACCCTCACATAGAACCTGCGAGAGGAGCATGACTCAAGGCTACAGATAAGAAAACGGAAGCCCAGGACTGGGCGCTGGGCAGAGCTGGGGTCAGGCTCAGGGACACGCAGCCCCGTGGCTCAGGACCCACGCTCTTGCGCAGTACCCTGAACTTCAGCACTTAGAAGCTGTTGGACCGTAGGCAGCTGCCTGGCGCTCAGTGCTCAGGATGCCAAACAGGCCAGAGACATGCAGGTGCTACAGACACATGTGGGAATGAGCGTGCGGCACATGGCAAGAGCTGGGAACCAGAGGGCAGTCGCAGGGACCCTTCTCCCTGCACCCTCGTCTGTGGGACCCTATGCCTGGGCAGCCACCGGCACACCTGCTGCTCCATATTCCAGTGCTCTCTCCCACAGATGTCAGGAACTAGAGCAGAAGCCCATCTTACATCCTAGCACAGGGCGGCTAAGTAAATGCCTTTGCAATGTGGTAAAGAGGTCCTGCAGAATCGATTTGCGTCTCGGGGGGCCAGACCACCTTCTTTTTTCTCATCACCAGAGTCTAAACAGAGGGGAATGGAGACAGAGCTAAGGAAAGGTCTGTGGGCTCCGGAAGGGGCTGTGAGCTAGGAGACAGGGGAGTTGGGCATCCCTGCTCCGAGTCTCGAAGGACAAGCTGCATGTGGAAGGCTTCGATGACCCACTCCACTTTCCACTGCTCCAATCCCCCGTGTAGGCCTCTAACCTGGAGACGGCCATCGCCGATGCAGAGCAGCGAGGGGACAATGCCCTCAAGGATGCCCGGGCCAAGCTGGACGAGCTGGAGAGCGCCCTGCACCAGGCCAAGGATGAGCTGGCCCGGATGCTGCGCGAGTACCAGGAGCTGATGAGCACCAAGCTGGCCCTGGACATGGAGATCGCCACCTACCGGAAGCTGCTGGAGGGCGAGGAGTGCAGGTGAGGGGCGCGGGCTGCTTCTGGGTGTGTGGGGAGGACCAGAGGAGCACCCCCAGCCCATGAAAGACGAGTTCGGGGGGCTGGAGTAATAGCACAGCGGGTAGGGCATTTGCGGTCAACCCGGGTTCAATTCCCAGCATCCCATATGGTCCCCTGAACATCTCCAGGAGTAATTCCTGAGTGCAGAGCCAGGAGGAACTCCTGTGCATTGCCAGGTGTGACCCAAAAAGCAAAAAAAAAAAAAAAAAAAAGATGCGTTCCTGAGTGTGCAGAGGGGATGAGTGGTAGCCAACAGTGATACCCACCCCAGTTCCCTGCTCTTTCCTGGCACCAGCCGTGCTGTGTGGACAAACTCCTCCCTCCCTCACAATTCTCTTCCCCATAGCTGGCCACATTCCTATGCGTGCCCTCTGAGGCCCCAGACCTTGTGCTGGGCCTTCCTGCTGCATCTCCCGGCCTGCCAGGGCTTGAGATGAGCCTCAGGCCCATACTCCAGTGCCCCCACTGTTAAAACTCCATGCTCCAGTCTGGCCCTTGGAAAGTGGGCATGCCACCCCACCCCCACTGTATGTCTCATGCCAACTGCTGAGTGACTAGGGTTGTTGCCTGGTTACCCCCCAAGAGCATCAGTCTTTGTTTGTGCTAAAGAAAGTCCAGCATTCCCACAGGGTGCCGTCCCGGGCAGGAGGGGAGCTGGCTGTGAGGTGAGGAGATTGGAGAAGTGGGTGACTGCCGCTCCTTTTTCATTTCTTTCCCTCACAGGATGTCAGGAGAATTCCCCTCCCCTGTCAGCATCTGTAAGTACTCGTCTGTTTGGGCCTCAAATCTTAGACACAGGGGTTTGGGAGGTCACACAGCCAGAGGGCAGAGGCTTAATTCTGAGATGAGAAAACAAACCTGGTTGGGTCGGGAGGCGGGAGAGGGGTTGTGCAGGTTTGCAAGTTGTTATCAGACCTGGGCTGGGGAAATGGGGGCAGAGAGGGAATTATGGAACTTCTGGAGCTGCAGGGAGAGGAGGTCCAGGGACTTTGGGGGTCTCAGCAGGGTTGAGTTGACCCCGAGCTGGGGACAGCTAGCAGGGAGAAGGGGTCAGAGACCAGGAAGTCCAGCACTGAGTCACTAAAAGGCCCAGGGTGGAAGTTGGGGTGCCTGGCCCGTGAAGATGGGCCTCTGGACACTAGTTAGGAGCCAGCCAGATTGGGTAAAAGCGGTGAGGGGGGCAGGATGGGGGAGCCGTCTCTCTGATAGTATCTGAAGGGGGGTGCATCCGTGCCCGAGAGGGCTCCCATCCAACTCGCTGCTCTTAGAAGAGCCCATGTGGTCAAAGAGGAGTCCCCTTGCCTCCCCCAACCCTGCCTGAGGCTTCACCCCTTGCCCCCACAGCCATTATCAGCAGCACCAGCGGCAGTGGCAGCTACGGCTTCCGGCCCAGCTCGGTCAGCGGCGGCTACGTGGCCAACAGCACGAGCTGCATCTCGGGAGTGTGCAGTGTCCGCGGCGGTGAGAGCCGGGGCAGGGCCAGTGCCAGCGACTACAAGGATACCCTGGGCAAGGGCACCAGCCTGAGCGCCAACTCCAAGAAAGCGAGTCGGTAGAGAGGCCTGCCGACTACCCCACGCCCCGGCTCTGCCTCCCCCGCGCTGCCCCCAGACCACTGCCACACCCCTTCCCTGCTGGGCCTGCTCCTCATCCTCGGGCACTGACCCGGGCAACGCGCTGCCCCCTTACCTGTCTGCCTGAGCCTGGACAGGAGAGCACCTCCAAGTTCGCTGCAGTTCCTCCCCGCCCCACTGCAACCCAGCTCAACCCGGCTAGTCCCCCAATTTCTACCTCCCCAGACTCCGGCTCAGTCCTACTTGTTCCACCTGGTCCCCCGACCTCTGACGGGGGCGCACCTGGCACTCAGGGGCTGTCTGCCATGCTTAGAGCTGGCTCTGAGTTCTAGGGAAGGACTGAAGGGCAAAGATCACAGCACCCAGCTCCTGCCCGGCCTGGCCCGCCTCACCCCAGGCTGAGTGGGACACGTTCTGCTCAGGCCTCTCACCATCCTGCACACAGAAGCAGGCGAGGAGGAGGCGGCCCCACCCTCACCCCCTCACCCCTGCTGCATCATCAATAAACCGCACCAAACAGCAAATTCTCGTGGCTGGTTTCTGAGGGGTCAGGGGCTCGCTACGAGCCGGAGTCTCAGGGAGCACAGCAGGTACCACAGAGTCGGGAGCACAGCAGGTGGGCCTGCATTCTCAGAATAGGGAGGCAGCTTCAGAATATGTGGGGGAGCACAGCTAGTGGAGCACATGCTAAGTGGAGAAGGGAGGAAGAGACGAGGCAGAGCAGCATGTGCAGCCCGGTGGGGAGCCCGGCCCTTCCTGAGCACTGGCGCCTTCCCACTGGCAAGCAGGGCTCTGAGTCTTTCCCCCTTAATCCTTTCTTCTCTGCTCAGCGGACAGGCCGGGGTATCTCCCCAGCCGAGAGGGGTTGGGCTGCCCTGCACACTGGGCCTCTCTGCTGCAGAGCTGGGACAGGGGATGATTCCAGAACCTGAGGGGAAGCAGTAGACCCCAAGACTGCACCTGTCCCCTCTGAGAATACCACGGTGGGTCTGCCCTCTGGCAAGCAGCTCTGAGGACAGATAGATTTACAGTGACTAGAGCGAACAGGCTGACCTCAGCCAAGAGTCTTCTGGAGCTTCTAAGGCTGGAGATAGAGGGCCAGGAGGACGGGTACGTGGGCTGGACTGGAGGAGAGAATGTTCAAGGCCAGGTCCTAGAGGTGGACTCGAGCCCCCAACACTCAACTCAGCCTCTTGGCTGTTCTGAACTGTCTGCCACATGTGAGTGAAAGAAAGGGACTAGACATAGCAGGCTGGAGTGATAGCACAGCGGTAGGGCGTTCGCCTTACAAGCGGCCAACATGGCCGACCCGAGTTCAATTCCTCCGCCCCTCTCGGAGAGCCTGGCAATCTACCAAGAGTATCCCGGCCGCATGGCAGAGCCTGGCAAGCTCCCCGGAGTGTATTCGATACGCCAAACACAGTAACAACAAAGTCTCCAATGGAGACGTTACTGGGCCCGCTCGAGCAAATCGACGATCAACGGGAGGGCCTTTACCTTTACCTTACCTTTAGACATAGCAGCAAGCTTGCTCCCAGGACAGTGAGACAAAATGCATGTGCACGTGAGTCTGTGTGTGTCTTGTGTGCAAGCACATGTGCGTATAAATGTGTGCACGGCTGTGCCTTGTGTGTCCACAGGTGTGCCTCATGTATGCAGATGTGTAAATGCATGTGTGAGCATGTTGCATGTGTGAGTGGGATTGTATTGCGAATCTGTATGTGCTTTCACATGTGCATGTCTGTATGCACGTATGTGCATGTGCATGTGTGCCTATGTGTGTGTGTGCATGTCTTCACGACAGCTAAAGACATTGCCCTTTTCCCTGCTAAGATTCACGCACACCTGGTGTCCCTGCTCCCTCATCCCTCTGCAGTGGTGAAGGTGGAAGGAGGCAGCAGAAAGGACTCTCCAGTGGGGAGTTTTAGAGGAAATGGCCAGATTCTCACCACTGGGAGTCATAGCTGGCCATCTCCTGGATTGGGGGTGGGTATGACAAACTCTCTCACTTCCTTCGTGCCCAGGGACTGTGGGTCTCCTGCTGGAAAGAATGATCCTGTCTCTAAAGCAGCAGATCAAGGTGCTAGAAAGAGTGCAGATTTCCAGGAGATGGGGGCAGGGGGAGGAGGGGGACATGGTTGTACCTGAGGCTGTGTGAGTGCCCAGCCCCAGGTAGGGTCCTCGGTTGTCTGGTTGTCTGCTAGCAGGTCTTCTGGTGACAGTCTTCAGCTGGGAGTGAATTACAGACCAGGCTGGAACAGATGGACAATTTTTTTTGTTTTGTTTTTCGGGTCACACCTGACAATGCTCAGGGGTTACTCCTGGCTTTACACTCAGGAATAACTCCTGGCAGTGCTCAGGGGACCATATGGAATGCTGGGAATCAAACCCGGGTTGGCCACATGCAAGACAAAATACCTACCCGCTGTGCTATCACTCCAGCCCCAGCTGGACAATTTTGACAGTAAGAGACAACAAGGCTCTGTGGAAAGGCAGTGATGCAGTGATTAGGAGGTTGGGTGGCACTATTGCAAGACATTTACATGGTCATTTATTGAGGTTGCCAAAGGCAGTGGCTCTTTGCATAGACTGAAAAATAACTGAAGTTTTTAAAATTCTCACAGCGAAGACTCTACCCCAAACTAATTGAAGAAAGCTAGAGGAGGTGGGGGAAGGGGCAGGGCCCAAGTAACCACTAGTACCTGCTGTAGTGAGCAAAAGGACTTTAGACAGCAACCAGGGCTGAGTACCAATTGTCTGGAGTGTAATCCTAAGGATGCTGTAGGTGATTCAGATCCAGAGGGAAAGAATAGCAGGATCGATGACTAATGCCTCGTGTGGCACAGGTGGAGAAGGGCTGGTCTGCTCTCTCACTGATGCCTACGGGTGGCTTTCCAGGATACCCAGTAATCTTCTCCCAGTGTATTCCCCCAGTGTGAAAAATACTGGGAGTGAGAGAATGCCACTCTTACTATTTCACAGATGAAACAAACATCTCTATTTGTTTCAGGTCCAAAGCCCCCACCTCCTGCAACCATCCTATACCAGAGAAAATCCCCCAGGAACCGTGTGCATTGCCTGGGATGGGCGTTGAGTGCACAGTGTATTCACATGTCTCTGAGAGCATCCTCAGTGTATAAAAAGTCTGAAAATGGGAGTAAATACAACAAGGTCTTCGAATAAGGGAGAAGAACCAAGAGCTTACAGATGGCAGAATGCGCTCCTGAAAACCTGGGGGAGGGTTCTGAGAAAGTTCGTGCTTCATCACCTGGCGTTTTGGTGCCAGAGCAAAGGCACTGTGGAGTGCCAAGGGCAGTGTGGAAGGAGATGGGCAGGAGCAGGGATCTGGGGAGCAGGAGAGGGAGCCGATGGCTGAGTGTGAGTGTTAAGATAAGGTACAAATTTGCCTCCCTGCCTGCTCCACTGGGCGCATCCTTGGCCTGCAGCTAAGGGGCTCTCTGCAGTGTAGAGGCAGGGAGAGGAGAGAAGGCACTCAGGAAGGTGCTGTAGAGGACAAACTAGTGCAAACGAATAAATACGGGATGCAGGTGGGAGCCACCAAACCCAGTGACCAGAGAACTGGGTCCCACTGTGAGTAAAGGCCAAGGCCAGGGGCCCCAGATACCTTCAGTGGACTTTGCAGTGAGATAGGAGGGGGCTACTGGGACCCTCTTGACAACATCCTGCAAGTTGCTGAGACCTCAAAGAGGAAGGGACATGTCTGCAGGCTGAGAGATGCTGGGACAGGGATGACCTAGCAGCATCCACTGGACAGGAAAGCTTGTACCAGATGGAGCCTGGTGGGGACAGAGGGCCAAGTAGGGCGTGCCAAGCTAAGGGGTCATAGTTGAACTTGACCTTGGGAGAAGAGGAGGACCTGCGACAGTTTCCCTCACAGGAATGCTGGTATGGAGGGTGGGGAATCTTCACAAGTGCCCCCTACACTCTGAGACCCCTTCACTGTGTCACAACCCACTTCCTGCTCCCATCACTCCCCACCCCAGGGCCCAGTGATGAACCTGTCTTCACCTTTGTGCCCTACGCCTGCCCCACACCCACTAGTGTGTTGTCATCCCACTGGCCCTCTACTCTGCTGGGCTCAGCCTCCAGGCTGCCATGCGGGCTTTTCACCCTGGGACCCCCAGCCAGAGGGTCCCTGCACAGAGCAAGCCCGCCAGCCACAGCATGACTCAGAGACTTGCAGGACAGTGGACAGGCCAGAGGCATGGAACTGGGGACATTCAGGACACTTTGGGGCAGGAGTAAAAGGGGTTCGACCAGGCCCCTGGCAGTCTCACAGAGACTGTGGTCTTACAGAGACCACAGTCTGCTGACCCTTTTTAAATTATTTGTATTTCATAAGGTGGTTCATAATATTTGATTTCAGTTAATATTCAAACACCAATCCCACCACCATTACACCTTCCCACCAAGTTTGGGATGATTCCATCCCAAGCCCCAAGCCCTGTCCCAAAGCACATCCGAAATACTATATTTTGTATTGTCGGTTATGGAAAAACGTCTCATGACGTGTTGCACAGCCACATTTGCGGCTGTGCAGTCCAGAAATACGTTCACTCATACCAGAGGCTCAGTCCAAGTGTGTAGAAAACGGCCTTGAGCAAGGTGGCAGTTGGGTTATGGAGGTTCTCGGCTGCCCGGGCTGGGTCCCTTGGGGTGGGGAGGGCTCTCACCCGCCCCCCTCTGGGGCACCCTGAGTGAAGCAGACTGGCATGGAGTCCAGTGGCATGGCTATGGCAGGCATCATGTTGCTCTCTTCTGAGAGAAAAAGCCGTGTGACCTGAATGGTGACCAATGAGAAGATTATCTGGTGCTGGCAGGAGGTGGCTTATGGGCGTGACCCCTAGCTCACCAGAGACTGGGGGGGGGGGGGGGGGAAATGGGCAGAGGATCTCCGCTCCTGGTCCCGTTGAGCTCAGAGCCCAAGGTCACAAAGTTCCATGTTACCTGGGTTTTGTCGG